TGCTATAGTCATTTAATATTCTTCACCCTAACTATATCCACTAAAAAAAAACCTACAAGAGCTCGAATATGTGAAATATACGTACAATATGATATGATCGATTGTAATTTCGATTGATGCGCAAGAGAAAATGCAAGTTCTTTAAACATTGAGATGCATCCCTGGAAAACGGCATATAATAACTGTAATTGCAATATTATTTATATATAAGTTTAATTTAAAACTGGAGAGAGCAGACAGATGCGATGATGCACAAGAATCAAGAAAATCGATTTTTTTTATAACAGAGAGATCAACTTGAATGTGTGTATCCTCATGATTCTAGAATCTTGGAACAGCGATTTTTCCTGGCCGCTCCTCGTCGATCAGACGGACGCCCCGTGACTCCAAGCAGTTATCCTCGCCGCCGCTCTCGTCACCCCTCTCCTCTCGTCTCCTCACGCCACACCACCACGCCCGAACGCGATGGCGGCGGCGCTCGCCCCCCTCACTGCCGCCGCGGCGCTCCGCCTCGGGAGCCGAGGCCTCCGCCACCGCCACCGCATCCTCCTCGCATCGCTCCGCCCCTGCTCCTCCGCTCCCCAACCACATCGTTCCGCCGTCCCGGCCGCTGCACGCCGGCTCCCAACGCCCCCGCCGCCTCCTCGCCGCCTCGCCCGCACTCTTGCCGCCTCTGCGGCCACGGCCATCTCCGAGGGCCAGACGGAGTAAGGCTCTGCTCTATTTCTATTCCCCGTCCTCTCCACCTTAAGGGCCCGTTCGGTTATCTCTGTTCCTGGCCGTTCTTGGCCGGAAAGTTCCGCTACTTACCCTCGTTCCCATCGTTGCTCGTTGCTGCGGTAGTGTAGTCCGATTTTTTTTTTATTATTTTTTTGCTTGTAGTGCGTTGCAATGTGATTCCGGATTTTAGTATATGGTGCTCGCACTCGTGCAAGTGCTTGGGATTCTAGTGGAAGTGGAGCCTCAAATTCATGCAAGTTGGGTTTAGGCCGTAGGAAGGAGAAGGAGAAGTATATAGGAAAGAAATGAGTGACTGTTTGATTCAATGTGGTTAAGCTGGTACTACTTGCTTCTTATGTTAACTAATGGAGGGGCGAGTTCTCATGTAAAAACTGCTTGAAATGTGTATTAGTGGCAGTGGGTAGTGTGAATTACTAGGTGGAATTTCCACTAGATTTTCAGAAGAATTGACTGGTGCCGTGTGGATCTGGTCCCTCTATATTGGGTGCCTATCTTGTTATAGGCCTGTTATGGAGTATGGAACTTGCTTGTAGCATGATCGCACTCAATAATGTTGGTTTTGAATTTATTTTGATTGTTGAGGAACTTAGGAAGTAAGGACTGTGGATATGCTCAAGTGGTTTGGCACCACTTTTATGTTTTTTACAAGGTTAATTTTCATGGTACAGTAAGAGGCTGTATGAAGATGTTAAATCAGTGGAAACTTATTTGTTGCACCATTAGTAAAACTATAAAAACATACGTTAAACAGCCATTCTGATAGATTATTCGTTGATTGGTGCTAAGGATATAATATATATAGTATGATTTTTCAGCTCGGTATTGCTTCAAGCAGTTTTGATTTGCCTTTGGTGTTTAAGAAGGTTGCAAACTAGACTAATTGGTAGTTGGCAGTAACTATGAACCAATTCCAAGCTATACCATTTTCTCCGATCATTGGTAATTCTGTTCCTTATAGCAGCAGATTTTAAAGAGTTGAAAACCTTCATTGTTCTAATGTACCATGCTCAATTGGTTATAATTGTGATTTATGTCTGCCTATGGTGATTGCTACTAGCGTGGAATATAACAATCCTAATGTTTTTGGTTTGTCTAGTTTAGTGGCTGGTTCAACAACTTCAAGCAAGGGACGCATCTACCACGAGACATATGGTTGCCAAATGAATATAAATGACATGGAGATTGTGCTTTCTATCATGAAAAATGAAGGTTATGATGAAATTGTCCCTGACCCTGAGAGTGCAGAGATAATATTTATCAACACCTGTGCCATCCGTGACAATGCAGAGCAGAAAGTCTGGCAGCGTCTCAACTACTTTTGGTTTTTGAAAAGGGAATGGAAAGCTAATGTTGCTGAAGGTAGATCAAAATCTTTGCGGCCTCCCAAGATTGCTGTCCTGGGGTGCATGGCAGAGCGACTGAAGGAGAAAATACTCGATTCTGATAAGATGGTTGATGTTGTTTGTGGACCTGATGCATATAGGGATTTGCCTAGGTTGCTCCAGGAAGTCGATTATGGCCACAAGGGTATGAACACACTTCTATCACTCGAGGAAACTTATGCTGATATCACCCCAGTAAGGATCTCTGATAATTCAGTTACAGCATTTGTGTCAATCATGAGAGGTTGCAATAATATGTGTTCATTCTGCATAGTTCCCTTCACCAGAGGTAGGGAAAGGTCTCGCCCAGTGTCTTCTATTGTCCGTGAGGTTGGTGAACTGTGGAAAGCTGGCGTGAAGGAAGTAATGCTTCTTGGTCAGAATGTTAACAGTTATAATGACACTTCTGAAGTAGAAGAATTGGAGCCTGGCCAAAACTGGCAACTCAGTGAAGGATTTTCCAGCATGTGCAAGGTGAAGAATATGGGGTTGCGTTTTGCTGATCTCCTGGATAGATTATCTTTGGAATACCCTGAGATGCGGTTCAGGTTTACCTCACCACACCCAAAGGATTTCCCAGATGAGCTACTGTATTTGATGCGGGATAGGTATAACATCTGCAATCTTATTCACTTACCAGCACAAACAGGCAGTACAGCAGTGCTGGAACAAATGCGGAGGGGTTACACTCGAGAAGCATACTTAGAACTTGTGCACAAAATTCGTAATGTCATTCCTGATGTTGGGCTAAGCAGTGATTTCATAACCGGTAAGCTTTCTTTTTTCCATAGTCTGCATTGGCTTAACTAGATTAACTTGTTTGTGTTTCCTGATTTTCCATAGTCGTCATCTTCTGAACAAAGTACTCCCAGAATGGATATTTTTCTTTTTTCTATGGATGTGTCAAAAAGAGTGAGAATTGACCATATGTCCATATAGACTATAGAGTGGCTCATGTGGTAAGGAGCTATAACAGACCAATTCGAATTTAGAACCAATTTATATTCACTACTCAACTAGCAAGATAATCTCATAGATGTACTTCATATCTAGTATCGATGGAAGAACTTATAAAAAAAAGGATTAAAATTGGTGTGCTGCATTGAGGCGATATCTTGATTGAATGTTAAGTTCCTGTTTGACCAATTTGTTTCCATTTTCGTTAAAGTTTTAGATGTTTATAACAATGGTATGCTTTGTTTACAATTTAGAATTAGGTATCATACAGATCATGTCCTGTGTTTGCCTTAATTGAATCTGAATCATCCATTTATTTCTCCTGCTCTTGCTTAAGACTTGTTCGCTTCATAATTTGAGTGGAATGGCTTATTGATATATGAAAAAAAAGGTTAACATTTATCTCGTTGTATATATTGATAAACTGGAATACGGCAGTAATTTTACAACTAGTTAGCAAGTAACTTTGGAGATGTGGACAGCTCTTATATCATGATGCTACAAAGCTGTTTCGGCACAGGTCATGGAGTCTTTGCTAGTTCTCTGGTTTGAATGGCAGTTTAAATGAGATTGAGATTACTTGATTGATTAAGTTATAACAGTAGCTCTAGCATTTGGCGATATTTATGTAATTATGTCAGATATGTACTTAGGTATCCCAAATTTCTTGAATCGTTCATAGTGGCATGCAATTTTGTTAGTTTCATCTTCTATGCTTTAATTTGGGATGTATATTTCTGATGTATTGCAGGCTTTTGTGGAGAGACAGAAGATGACCATGCTGAGACCCTCAGCATGGTAAGGGCTGTTGGATATGATATGGCTTACATGTTTGCATATAGCATGAGAGAAAAGACTCATGCTCACCGGAATTATGAGGACGATGTCCCCGAAGATGTCAAGCAGAGGAGACTCATGGAACTAATCAACACCTTCCGCGAGACCACAAAGAAGAACTACGATTCTCAAATTGGTACAGTGCAGCTTGTTCTTGTCGAGGGACCCAATAAGCGTGCTCCCAAAACGGAGCTGATAGGGAAGACTGATAGGGGACATAAGGTGTCATTTGCCAGTGTCCCTGTACCACACACGTTCGAAGGTGAAGAAGCACGTAAGCCAGTGGTTGGTGACTTCGTTGAGGTGAAAATTCTCAGGTCGTCGACAGCAACATTATTTGGGGAGCCAATTGCACGCACAAGCTTGAGTCTGTTCCACAAAAATGTTGCATCTGAAGCGCAGGCTGTTGCTGCATAAGTAGTAGTTACATTTGTAGTAGTTGTGATTATATGTAGTGATATTTCAAATGACTACAATTTTGATATAGAGAGAAGAAACTGAGTACGTGCATGTCAGCCTGATGGTTAAGCGTTGGTTCAGTTTTGATAAGGTAGCATGGTGCACTGCTTTTATCAGCGGGAGCCAAAAGAATTTTTAGCATAAAAGTCTGCTGGTCTTGTGAATTACTCCTCTTTTGAAGGTTGTATTGCCATGTAAAGGTCAAAACAATATTGACAAAGTTTTTGCTTGTTACTGTAAACTTCAGCTTGAGATGGCTTTTTACTGCAGGTATACTGACACTGATTGACTATATCTGCAAATCTGTGACCAGAGGATTCAGAGTTTCAGTTCAATGTTCATGGGGATGTGTATAGCAGATGGCACAGTTACACAATCTTGTAGAGTGAATGATTCTCAGACTGGGAAAAGAGAGTAAAATTCAGCTGAGAATATTTACAATTCTGATGTGCGTATATACAGCTATCTAATCCTGTGCACATGTGTTGATGTCCTACACTGATAAAAGATGACGAAAACAATCTATTATTAATTTTTCTACAACAAAGCTATTATTTTTGTAAATCTACAAGATGTGCTAATTATGTGAGTGCCAATGGCATCAAGGAATGGAGGACATGCACATCACACTGTGGTCACCACCTGCTGCCGTAGAGGTGTGAGAAGTCTTGCAAGAGGTAGAGGTACATGAGCTTTTACTAATGTCCCATTTTCCTTGTACTCCTGCAGTAAATGTTGCAAGAGGAGAGTTATCATTAACTCCAAACAAGAATGCAAAAAATTGCAAATTTTCTATTAAATGGAAGCTTCTCAAGAAATTAATATAACATGCACTTGAGTATGTCCAGATATTATCTAGGTTTGCAGATTTGCAATAAGCAAAAATGTGTGATTGTTTACAAAGAAATTTCTAACTAGTATCAACCCATGCATATGCTTCCATGACTAGACTATCTCTTTGGCAGTAGTTGAATGAATTAACTCATATGTATTTAGCTCAGAACAAAATTACAAAGGCATAAATTTGACGACAGGAAAGAAAAGATCAAAACACCACTGCCAAAGAAATTGCATCTTAAATCAAATAGGACGCTCACCATTTTTTCAACCATTCCAACCTTATGTATGTCATTTAGGAGATCTCCTTTGTCATATGGAACAATAGCTTCTATCGGAACCATTGAGTCCTGTAGAAGACAAATATGATCATGATTGACAAAATTCCAGCTTAGATGCAGATTTTTGAAACTTGTAGGATAAAATAGATGCTTTAAACATCTGTGTTAATCCCTTCCGCAGCTCTAACTGGAAATACTTAGAACTTCCATTCCCCATACCCACCTTGTGTGTGGGAGCTCTCAGCACTGAGTATGTCATCCGTGATTGGTCCAAAATAAGAAATACCTCAGCTAAATAGCCTCTATTATATCATTAGGGTTAACATTGCCAGGAAGATAGCTGGCCGCTGGGCAAAGTCAATTTTGAGGGAGACTTTGGGGGGAATTGGACAGGTTGTTCTTCATTCTTGCCCCAACTAACTGCCGTGCCTCTCTTTACATATAGCCAGCCCCTAACAAATCCCAAAACTTTATCTCCTAACAACCTTACTAAACCTTAGGATTCCTGGCCCCTTGACTGACGCGCCATGACATCTATATGCCTACAGCTCTCACTCCAATAATTTCTAGACCTAGAAATGACCAGCTCCAAAAATACTTAGATCTGGAGCACAGAGGCCCTTTATTCCAAATAAATGAAGTGCACTAGAACCCAAAAAGGCATGTCTGAAAAACAACTCTGCCTACAAGGGGGGAACACATACTTTCAACTTTGCTTGAACTGCATTACAGAATTCTTCCAAACCATCACCATTCATGGCTGATATGCAGATTATTCCTTGTTTCTGAGCTTCCTCTTTTACTCTCAATGGTTCATCCGTATTGTCAATCTGCATGGCATACAAATTGGGCTCAGTTCCAAGAAAAAAGCACTTGAAGAATCAGCTCCAGTTGGAAATGTATAATTGTGTCTTGCTTGCACTATTATTCCAAATTTCTGACTATTGAATGTGAAGATTAGATAGAACAAAATGAGCCAATGCAAATCAAAGCTCCACAGAACCCCGCACCATTTGTATAAATATTAGGGATTTACTACTACATTAAATTTTTTATATGAACATAACCTATTCAGAGTGAGTGACAGACAGAGGTAGAACAAAAATGAGAACCCTTTCACATTCTGCAGCAACTTTTGCTCAAAAGCACTTCCACACTATTTAATTCACCGTTAGTATAGGCAATTAGCCAACTAGGCATTAATACTAAATTAAGCATAGAATGACTATGATCAGAAAATTTTATATGAAATAAAGTGAAAACGTTGAAAATTTTACCAAACAGGTCAAATATTTGAGCAAAACAAACCTTATTCCACACGATTAATTTGGGGATTGACTCTACATCCAACTCCTTCAATACTCTTTCAACAGCATCTATCTGTTGTTGAGCTAATGGATGGCTGGAACACATGACACAATATTAGTACAGTGCATATAGATGCATTAAATTGAATTCACAACAAAGAGAACACCTAGTATAAGTTCCAAACCTAATGTCCACAAGATGAACTATAACTGATGATTCTGATATCTCTTCTAGTGTTGCTCTAAATGCTGCTACCTGGATAGGTATTATCAATAAACGATATATGCAAAGTTGACATCATAAAGATAGGAAAAACTCTCAATATTTGCAGTTCTATTCTTCAAGAGCACAACACGTGAACAAGAGGAATATGCTTTGTGGATATGTACCAGCATAGTGGGTAACTTCTGAATGAATCCGACAGTATCAGTTAGAAGGAACTCAGTCCCATTCTTCATCTGCAAAGTAATACACAATTACATTCAGTCATGGTCATATGTAGATATAATGATGGGTAGTTCTTACCAAAGAAAAAATCCTTCGCAAAGGCATACAAATGATAGTAAATAGAGATTATTCATGTCCATTATCCAATTTACATGACTAAAAAAATCTCCTATTTTCATTTTTTTATGAATCAGGAGAGTTTTCTGATAACATACCAAGACCCTTCTTGTAGTTGGGTCTAACGTGGCAAATAACTTATCCTCTGCAAGTACATCAGCTCCAGTTAATCGGTTTAGGAGTGTACTTTTTCCAGCATTTGTATACCCTACCTGAAAAATATTTGGAACTGAATATATTTGTAGAATAGAGGGCATAGGAAACTTTTGATCACTCTAAGGAAATTTACATGGTTATACCAGAGAAACAACAGGAATAGGAACTGATTGGCGACGGTTGCGGTACAGCTTTCGGTGTTTCCGAACAGATTCCAATTCTTTCCTCAAGGCACTTATCTGTCAATGACACTTATGTTTGAGATCCACAAGTTTAAAAAAAAAAGTTCAGCACTACAAATTCAGCAATGTACAATGTGACAAGGAAAATATATAAGTCCTTGGCAGACATCATCAATAGGAGTTTGTCATATTACTAGGAAATGTCAGCCAGCCATCTACTTTTTATTCCACAGTCATTAGAGACAGAGTGCCCTGTCATTGACCAATAGTGGTAGCTAATAACACAGTCCTGTGTGAATTTATTGAGCAAAAAAAAAAATCCAGAAAGAATATTACTTGAGTTCTCAAGATGCGCTTGTCAACTTCAATTTGCTTCTCACCCATACCCTTAACTTGACCTCCAGCCTGGCGTTCAAGGTGACTCCACATTTTTGTCAACCTAGGAAGTTGATATTCCATCTGTGCCAAGGTGACCTAAAATGGAAAACAGAATTGCTGACAACAAACATGTTCATTCTACTTAAAACTGCAAACTTAATGTCAATAAATGATATCACGAGGTACTACTGTTAATAAAGCTACTGTGTGTGATTTTTACCTGTAAAGCAGCTTCATGTGTTGCTGCCCTTTGATTAAAAATATCAAGAATAAGAGCAGTTCGGTCACAGACTCGGACACTCCCACCAAATGACTTTTCCAAGTTACGTAGTTGTCTGAAATTATTATTGGGAATATGAGCTATCAGAACAATTATTAGACCAATCTGAGGTGGTTAGCAGTTTAATAAAATATGATTAGGAAGCAGTTGAAAGCATTGTATGATCGACACAAGTACACGGTGTCGGTGTCAAAATCATAAGATAGATTCTTCAAATATATCCTGGTTAGGTATAGAGGAAAAATGAAAAATCAATTATACTGCCATCCGTTTATGAGATTGACAAATAAAATTCTTTCAGGTATTCTCTGAACTAAGATGAGTAACCAATCTTTTGAGCATAATAGTTAACGATCAGCACGAGGTAAAGATCATACAGTTGGGTTCATTTGATGTGTCTGAGATATGACAAACGAGGAAAACAGATCGAATCACATAGCAGAGTAATAAGTGGAATCTTACCCAGGGGATAACTCATCATCGAAAATTACAGTCTCAACATCAAGGGCTTGAATTGCACTCCTGATCTCAGAAACCTTGCCTGAACCAATGTAAGTCCTTGGATTTGGGGTAGAAAGCCTATTGGAAAGTAGAAAGCATGAGGACCACTGTACTTTGTAGAAATAAGAAAAAGCAAGGCATGTGGTTTGTATATCATGTCATAGCCTTACAGTCCTACATAAGAACATAACAATACAGTCTATACAGAAAAATAAGAGGGAAATTTGAGCTATATGTATATCAAATTGTGGCAATGCTGCAGAATACATTTTGAAATTTGAACTAACAGTAACATTTCATTTATCGGAGTTAACCGTGAAGTTCCTGTGGACCATGCATTAGATTGGCCAGGCATCTCAGATTTTCCAGGGTGGCCCATCTTTATCAATGGTGAGAACATATAACCACAATTGCCAGTGGAGCACAGCACAGGCTCAGTAGTGATGTTCCAGGCACACATAAGCTTACTTCTGATAGGTTGAGCCGACTACCACAAGGCCCGCGGTATCAGCCAACTGCTCCAGCTCCTTAAGAGACTCCTCTATGCCGAAGAGGTTCCCTCCTGTCCGTTTGCACTCAACACCAACCAGATAAGCCTTCTCTTGAAGTATCTGCAGGTAGCCAGGTCCACAGGTTCAGAAAATCAGACATGCTGAAATTGACAGGTAACACAAATTCACAGCTCTAATGTTCATGTCACGGCCCAAAATATCTAGTGGGGATAACAATCAAAAGTTCTCTCCGGTGAATTTGATGGATCGCTGCAGATTATCAGAATTTGCACACGCAGCAGTCAGTACAAAACCGCTCGATCTGTCAAACAGGCGGGCCGTCGAAACAACAAAAGCAAGCAGCTGAAGCTACACAAGCCGCTACCTCTTTGCCGTTGATGAGTTGGAACCGGTCTTGCCCCGCCGCGGACTCCTCCTCTTCCTGCCGCTGCCGCCTGCTCTTCACGAAAGCCCTCGGCGGCGGCCGCTGCTCCAGCTCCAGCTCCTCCACCTCCCCTGCTCCAACTTCATCACCCTCAGCGACCCCGCCTCCATCCCCTACGTCAACACCGGTTACAACCTCTTCGGTATCCGCCGACGCGGCCTCGAGCAGCCGCTCGTCGAGTGCCCGGACCGGTCCACGGCAGCGAGTCGGGGAGCAGCGGAGGAGGACGGTGGGGCTCCGGAGGCAGCGTCGTCCCACGGAGGCGGGCGCGGAGGTCGAAGGGAGGGAAAGGGAGATGGCGGCGGCGAACAGGCAGGCGGCGGCGCTCATGGCGCGGCGGGCGGAGACCGGAGAGCGAGTGAAGCTGAGGCTTCTGGGTGGTTTTGGTGAGCGCCAACGGCCGAGTGGATAGGCGAGGGAGAAGATGACGTCGACTGGGTCCCTTCTGTTGGTGCTGTGGGACCGGTGTATTCGACACGCAAGCCGCTTGGCGCGACGTGACGTGGCATAAACATCTTCCCAGGTTGCTGTCGGTAAATCTCGTTCACGGGGTTTTATTGGTGGGTCCGGAAAGGAAAGACTTAATGAAGCTTTGGGCAAATCTTAGCAAAACCCCATAATTATCTGTCAAATTTTAGAGACCTTGAGATTTTTGTATTATATATATGTCAGCATTCACGGTTTGGTTTCAGTTGCGTTCAAGTTTATTTAAAGAGACTTGATAGCGGCCGAACGTCCGATCCATAGCGCTAACATCGGATGGTACCTTCTCAACGAGTGAGCAAGCACATCAGCGCGTCGGACTTGAGGGCGAGCGCACCACCAGCGCGTCGTCAGCCGTTTTCCACACGCATCCCATGTGCAAACTCTAATCTACTTTTAAAAACATCTAGACGCAACAGTTACAACAAAGCCAGATAGAACACTTAAAACATACGTATGTTCAAAACCATTGCAAACATATTAAAGATCCAGAAAAAACACTTGCAACAGATGTATGACACTAAATCACTTGAAAAATACGCTTGTAACATGCATGTATATGCAACGTCGAGATAAAAATACTTGCAACATACGTCTGGTACAGATGAAACATTTGAAACATATATACACTTGAAACATACGTGTATAGCCATTGCAACATATGCAACATCCTGATCTACTTTTGCAATATCCCAATCTAGTTTTGCAACACCGATACATAATCTTGCAACATACCTCTGACACATCTAAAACATATATTTTCAACATGCGCTTTCAGTGCAACATCTCCTTACTGCTTGCGAATGGAGGTCTCCTTGTTGCTTGGGAATGGAAGCTCGTCGGCGTGTGGAGTTCATCGGTGTAGAGCTCGTCGGCGTAGAGCTCGCCGCTCTGATGGAGAAGCCACGATAGGTCCGGTGGAGAAGGCCACGACGGGTTGCTCTGGTGGAGAAGACAGATCGCGCGGTAGAGAAGGCTGCGATGGGTGGCCACGGCGGGTAGGAGGTGCCGTGGAGAGGGAGGAAGACGGGCAGCCGCGTTGGGGCACGATGGAGATGCCGACCTGCGGCCGGTGCTCGAATGCCGTGAAGAATGACGAGGGGGTGCGGCGGAGCGCTGTCACGGCGCTGCGGTGGAGAGCGCTCTAAAGAGGACGAGTGGACGAGAGGCTTCTTGAGAGATTGAGTGGACAAGAGGATTAGGTGTGGGACCGTTGGACCGGTGTCACGGCCCACGAACGGCGTCATCCGGATGATCGGACAGCTGGGCGTAAGCATTTCCATTATTTAAAACTTTGTTCGTGAAATCAAAGATCTGCCTAGAGCTCCCGTGGCAAACAAGAACAGTAAAAATAGACTACTCTAGTTATGATTAGTATTGACTACGCTTTTACCAATAAGAATTAGAGTAAAGCATATATTTCAACCTACAAATTACGTGTCAATCTGACTTTCAAAAACTACTCCCTCCTTTCCAAATATTAAGTCACTTTAATTTTTTGTTCATCCATTTTGCTATGTATCTAGATATATTATTATATCTAGATACATAGCAAAATATATGTAAAAAAAAAAGTCAAAGCGAGAACGGAGGAGTATTATCTAATTTAGTCATCTAGATGATTTATACATGGTTTTCTAATCTCTAAAAATATTAAAAATCTGATGTGATCTCTTAAAATTCATATGAAACTAGTATTATTTTTAAAAAAAATTATTATATACCTGTTTATGATTTATAGTTATTCAGAATCAATTTATCTATCCTCCTATTTTTTATTGTTTGTAGTCATGCTTATCATTTATTTAAACAAGTAAAATCCAAATAACTCTATATACAAATAAGTATATAGGTTTTTTAGAAGAAAACTAGAACTACTTTCAAATTTTGTTAATTTAAAATAAATTAATTACGAATTTTTATAAATGAGACCAGATTTTTATTATTTTTAGAAAATAGAAATCATCTATCAAAATCAGCTATATAACTAAATTTGTGATGGTTGGATGGTGTCTATTATCCTTTTATAGTTTAAGGTAGAAAATTGGCATGGCATTTCACTTAGATGTTGAAAAATGTATTTTACCCTAAAAATTATTTACATATGGACCCATGTACAGAGGAGGAGCTTCATTAGGGCTAGTGCCATTTATAATATAGTACATACAACCTTTGTTTTGGTAATTGACATACACTACTTTGACATTGTTGCAATTGAGAGACACATGTTTCTTCTTCTTCTTCTTCTTCTTCTTCTTTTGCAAAATTCCACAACTATTGTGGTTACAATGCAAGCGCATACGCCCTTCGAACATGTTGTCATGCACTAGATTTCCATGCCCAACATTTGATATGACTAATTGCTTCACAATCCAAATAAGCCCGTTTTGTCCCGTCAAATGATCTTATCATCATTGCAAAATCTGTTCTTCACAAATTTTTTTGTTAAATTTTGTTCTTCCATTGCATTTTGCACAGCACAAAATCAGAGTACCATCCAAACCAAAACTCAGAGAAAAGCAAGTTAAGGCAGCTCTTGAAGAACTCAACACAGAAGTGCAGCCAGTGAGCATAGTTCAGATAAATAGTACTGCCATCACCACCAACAAACCCTTGTTTTCGTTTGTACAAGTTACAGCCAACACTCAATCTTTCTTACCATTCCCCATAATAAATTAAGAAAACAAGCAGTACTGCACAGTAACAATGTGCAGGCCATCCTCAACAGCAAATTAAATAAGATTAGCATAAATAAACAACACAAACAAACAATAAACACCACCACCTCTGTCTGACTGACCGACTGACCGGCTTCACTCGTGGCAGCAGCAGCCCCTGTTCGTCGTCACCATAACTTATTATTATCTACACCAAATCCACAAGCCGTCAAAGCGCTCTCATAACTTAGAAGAAAAATTTGCACGCCATCGCCATCACCGGAAGAAACGAGCAAGAAACAGCGGCGGCGTCGGCGGCTAGTGCACGGCGATGTTGATGGCGCCCTCGCCAGCGATCTTGTGGGCGCGGTGCTTCGGCTGCTTCTTGGGCCCGGCCGGCTTGGCGTTCGTGGCCTGCGCCTTGCTTCTGCCGCCGCTGCATTTGCAGTTGCTGTCGAGGCCGTCGCGGCTGGCGCGGCAGCACGGCCTCATGGCGCCCTCGCTCTCCGACGAGGAGTTGGACATCTCCATGGAGGTCGTCGTCGTCTTCCTCCTGCCCAGCTTCGGTGACTTGGGCCGGGTCGTGGGCAGCTTCTTGAATTCGGCCTTGGGGGACGGCGTCGCCTCGTGGTAGAAGCTTGGCATCGGGTTGGCCTTGAAGGTCAGGCTCTTCCGAAGCTGCTTCAGAGCCTCCTCCTGCTCTTTCTGCAGATTCACAAATGCATGACGAAACAGTCAAGACTCGGCTCTGAAAATTGTTCAGCAATCAGCATGCATCCAACGCATTTTCAGTTACTGTTCCTGTTCTGAGCTTGCAATTCTGTAGAGGGGTTTTTTATTAGTTTTTTGCTTGGTGTGGTTATAAACCCTGGTTCAGACAGTAAGTGCACCCGTTAGTTTCCTTCAGTTGTGACTAGTGAGCATGTTGCAGATTGCAAGCATAGCAGTTCCAACTAAACGAACAGTAGAGCTGTATCAAGTGTCCAAGCAGAACAAGAACAGAACCATGACTAAAAGCAAATAATAGAACAAGTTCAGAACACAACGGCAACTAAACTGCAGATTGTTGCCTGGGTCTTTCAAAAATAAAGGTAAAGGTACTCCTAGATAGGCAGCAAAAACTTCAGGTTAACTGAACTTTATTCATGTCTGAATCATGATCGACAGTAATGAATCAACTTCAACTACGCCTAGATGAGCATCCAGGTTCAGGTCAACTAAACAATCCGATTATATCAGAAGGGGATCAGAGACACAGGATGCAACTCGAGAGAAATGACAGCCAGATAAATTACCTTCAACTTAGCCTCCAACTGAATCTTTTCTTCCTCCATAGCTTGATGCTTCTCCTCCAACTTCATATAAAACTGCAAGTAAAGCATGAAAACAAGAATTATAAGCACATTCTCCCTTTACCAAGATTCACAATTTTTATAGAAAAGAAAAGCTATGTAGTACATACTTCTCTGCGCTTCTCAGCACGTTCAGTACAACGGAAAACTGGGCCTGATGGAACTGTGGCCTTTCCAACTGATGATTTCGCATCGTCCTGATTACCTCTATTTGTAGATTGTAGTGGCTTCCGTGTCGTTGCAGATGGAGTCTTCTGTATGAAAAATGTAGAGAAATTCAAAACTACTACGTAAGGCGTTCATGTAATTCTGCTAGATAATTAATGAATCATACATGAAAAAAAAAGGGTTAAAGAAATGGAAATACCCACCTTCTTCGTTGAAGTCAACACCCTCTTTGCACTTTGGAATACGTTCCTATTTCCATTGGAAGATTTGCCATTTGATGGATCAGGAGTGTGGTTGCTCATATCTTCAGGCTCTGATGGGAGATCATTATTTGGTTCCAGGGCATCTTCCATCGATGTGATTGAGGAGCCATCACTCATTGCTGTTTCTTCCATTGGAATCTTTTCCTGATTCTCTTGTTTATCAACACTATTTTCAACATTAACAAGAGAGCCTTCATCTCCAGCACACTCTGAATTCATAGAGCCATTGTCAGTACTCAGTACATTGCACATCTAACTCCCCCGTACTAGGCAAACGACCAGATTCAACAGCTAAATGTTCACTGAAATTGATACAAGCATTAACCACTGAACCACAACAAACTTACCATCATCGGTCTGCTCAGAACTTTCGATGCCCGAATAACCTTCATTACCAGTAGCTCCCTTGACTACAGCAGATCCCAAATGTCCAGAGCTGCCATTGTCAGATTGCTCAACATCAACAGCGCTAGGCAGGTCCGAGTTCGACGGATCAGCACACTTCTCATAAGACACATCCATGGTATCACCAACGGCAGAATCAAGGTCCTGTATAGAAGACTGAAGTACAATTTTAGCATCCATAGTTCATACTGATTCCCAGAAAGTAAATACTACTGCAATAATTAAACACTTATCGGTAACCTCGAAAGTAGCCCCTGCAATTTTAAACGTTACAACAAACTGGAACCATGCATTTTGTCAAAGAACAAGGACATGCAAACTGTCAAAACTGTGACCTCAGGGAAACAGGATGTTCCCATCTTCCGGAGAATCGTCATGGAAAGGCCAACTGTAGTGAAAATCTTATATATGTATCATGTGGAAAATGATTTCCTCACTACACTACCAAACAGGAAAATGACATGGCAGTGACGGAGATTTTTTTTTAACATTTTTTGTAAACTAATTTTAAATCTAACACTGTTTAAATCATTTTTTTCTCCAAAACTAACACTTTTGGCCGCGCCTATTTCCCTGGCGCGGCGAAACACTTGTGCCACGCCATGCATGGTGACGCGGCGAGAGAGATGACGTAGTGACGACCGGGGCGCTGACCGGTGACGTGGCAGGGTCTGCCGCGCCACCGATCTGGGCACGGCACTGACGCACCATGGAGAATGGCGCGGCGAGGCAAAGCTAGGCATGGCCGGAGCATAGGCCTGCCCACGCGGCCTTGGCATGGCATCTAGGCCTGTTCATTGTAGCGGTGACGTTGACGGAGCATGCAATGCCTTCCAGCTACGTGTCCGATGGTCGATGGAGAGAATTAATTAAAGAAGCCTTCGGTCATCAATGGATAATGAATTTTCCTTCCTTCCCCAAGAATCACCAACCATGCGTCTCCCTCCCTCCCTGCGTCTCCCAGAGGAGAGGATGGCCTGGCAGGTGACGTGGCAGAGTTCCCGCAATCAGGCCACGTCGGTTTTGTTTCAAAGTTGGTCCACGTGTCTGCTTTTTTATCGATCGATCTCTACTGGAGTACGTACTGTATGCGTTACGTGTTGGGCCAGCTGAGGACACTGCGGGAGGCTTTCCGTCCCCTCCGACATCCATCGGACTGCCGAGCGGGCGGCAGCCTCGGTCCCCGCGAAAGGCTAGACGCGAGGGTCTCGTCGACCAGCTAGTACGGAGTACATCTACAACGACTCCGGGTAGATGCTACAAGATATGACTACCGCTAAAATGTTTCAATTCATAGAAAACTAGTCCATCAACCCATGCTCTCGCACGGTTAGAATTTTAGAAGATATAAGTATTAGACGTTTTCTATGATACATCATTGCAGTACCTAATACTTATATCTTCTAAAATTTTAACCCGTGCGAGAGCACGAGTTGATGGACTATTTTTCTGAAACATTTTAGCTGCAGAATTGCTAAACCTCAACCGGTTGATTTGGCCTCTCCAATCAACTGATTTTTGGGCCATCTGATCTTACGCAGACGGCTAGCAAGGGCGCGCGCTAGCGAACAGCGGCAGGCACGAGCAGGCGAGGGCCGGGCGAGGATCGTGAAAAGCGCGCCAGCCTTAGTCTGACCAGTCCTTAGAAACTCATGCGCCCGGCCATGGCGACGACCGACGGCCGGCTATGAGGAGGCCGACGAGGAGGGCCGCCCCCAGGCTGGATCACCGTTGCTGCTTCTTCTCCGGACTTTGTTTGTGTGCACATTCGACGGAAGGGAAGGGAAGGGAAGTGCGCAGGCGACGGAAGGGAAGGGATAAGGTTGGAGAGGTGGGTCCCACCACAATTTGGGAAAATTTGTTTTGAAATTTATGAAAAATTTGCGAATAATTTGAAATATATTTCTCTGGTATCTGCAATTCATAAAAATATTTTGAAAGTATTTCTGAAAATTTTGGCATATATTTGTATTATCTCCAAATTACATCATCGTGTTCAATAAATTACACTGAAGAAATCATTGTAAATCTGGTAATAAGACAGTGTAAATATAGTTAGAAGACACTATAAGTATATGAAAAAAAATTGAGTTAACAGGAGGGACAAAAACAATTGAATCAAATCCTTTACCTGTAGTCAGATCTAGTAGCATCTACCGGGAGTTGTTGTAGATGTACTCCGTACTAGCTGGTCGACGAGACCCTCGCGTCTAGCCTTTCGGGGGGACCGAGGCTGCCGCCCGCTCGGCAGTCCGATGGACGTCGGAGGGGACGGAAAGCCCCCCGCGGTGTCCTTTTCAGCTGGCCCAGCACGTAACGCATACAGTACGTACTCCACTAGAGATCGATTGATAGAAAAGCAGACACGTGGACCAACTTTGAAACAAAACCGACATGGCCTGATTGTGGGAACTCTGTCACGTCACCTGCCAGGCCATCCTCTCCTCTGGGAGACGCAAGGAGGGAGGGAGTCCGTGGTGGACTGGACTGGACTGTAACGGTTGCATGGTTGGTGATTCTTGGGGAAGGAAGGAAAATCCATTATCCATTGATGGCCGAAGGCTTCTTTAATTAATTCTCTCCATCGTCCATCGGACACGCAGTTGGAAGGCATCGCATGCTCCATCAGTGTCACCGCTACAATGAGCAGGCCTATGCTCCGGCCATGCCTAGCTTTGCCTCGCCGCGTCATTCTCCATGGCGCGTCAGTGCCGCGCCCAGATCGGTGGCGTGACAGACCCTGCCACGTCATCGGTCAGCGCCCCGGTCGTCGCCACGTCATCCCTCTCGCTGCGCCACCATGCATGGCGCGGCATAGGCGTTTCGCCATGCCAGGGAAATAGGCGCCCAAAAATGTTAGTTTTGAGAAAAAAAAAATAAACAGTGTTAGATTTAAAATTAGTTTAAAAAAGTGTTAAAAATAAAAAAAAATCGTGGCGGATAGAATGAGTCATGTACTTTGACAAGCTATCTGCCAGCATGACTGTCGACAATGATCAAGGGCATTAATTATTTATTTACTTGAGATCGTGTATGTCGGTATGGTATGGCGTTATCTGTTACGGACTTATTTGATGGTATTAGTATAGAACTGGCTGCATCATATATTCCATAATAAGAGGATAAAACAACTACTACTAAAAGAGAAGACAAGGGAGCAAAGGCAACGAACAAAAAATTTGTATATGAACAAATTGAACTGTGCCTTGCGCAGACTGAATAATTGAAGGAATCAGAATACTATTACTAGTAAACATGTGAAGATCTAGTTGGACTACTATAAAGTGGGACGACGAAAAGCTTATTTGGTACGCCAGTGTTTTTAAGTGTTCTATTGTCCTTTAGAACACCAAAAAGAGAATGGTTCTCACCTTCTAAGCGGTACTACTGCTTGTATTATTTTAATTAGGATTTGCTATGATCCAATCCGGTTAAAGTTACAAAAAAAAAAAAACTGTGTCGAAGAGTTCGTTGTTTACGGATCTGATCCGGAAAGGGGACATGATAACAACTTCCTTAAAATCCCTTTTTATTAGATCAATCAAAAGAATTTGGCTTCCCAAAAGGAAGTTGGCTTTGCGCTTGTCTCTAATAATATTATACATTATCATATCTACTAGACACCTGACAACTTGGAGGGCAGGGCCATCCTGCTGATAGGCATACCTGAACTGAACATGTATTGGTCCCGTTCGCTGGTCTGAAACTTGGCTGAAATTAGCTGAAAAACACTGTTCCGACTGAATTGTTGTGAGAGAAAAACACTGTTCCGACTGAAAAAAGAGATACCAACCATATATGCCAACCCAAAGCTGATCCCTTGTACGTAATCTCCTACCAAGTTTCCCGAACTAGTGCGAGATGCGTATCCTTTTTGTGACAGTGACGGGACAATTGTCTGGCGGACATCTAAAGTGACGGGCGTTAGCTGGCGGACACCCCGTTTTGAGCAGTTTGCCAGAAGACACTCTGGTTCGGTGAAATTAGGCCACAGGACACCGCGGACCGGTTGTAGCCGGTTGAGGAGAGAGAAAATTTTGTTTTGGACATCCGGTGCCCCTGAACCACAGTTGGGTCCGCCCCTCTCCCTCTCATTGACGCGCGGGCCCCACCTGCCATCTTCTTCTTCCTCCTTTTCTCCTCTTCTCTTCTTCCATTCTTTGGCGCCAGCCACCACCGCCGTCGACCAGCCCGGCCACGCAGTGCACAGACGGTGGCGAGCTGCCATGCGCAGCCAGCCCATGCCATCTTGCGCACCTTCTTCTTGCCGGCGATAAGGCGCCCCAAGGCCCCTAATCTGGCCATGGAGGGCGCTGCCGCTGCAGAGGTTGCCATGGAGGGCCGCCGCAGCCCCAGAGGTGGCCATGGAAGGCCGCCGCACCTCCCCTGCACTTCGTGCTCGACCGCCGCCGCCAATGCCGAAGATGCCGAGTGGTGACCATGGAGGGCGCCGCCGCTGCCCCCAATCGGACCAAGGAGGGCGCTGCTGCTGCCAGCGATAGGAGCGCCGTGGCCCCAATCTGGCCATGGACGGCGCTGCCGCTGCTGAGGTTGCCGTGGAGGGCCACCGCAGCCCCAGAGGTGACCATGGAAGGCCGTCACACCTCCCCTGCACCTTGTGCTCGACCACCGCCGCCGTTGCCGAAAATGTCGAGGTGACCATGGAGGGCACCGCCGCCGTCCCCAATCGGGCCATGGAGGGCGCTGCTGCTGCCGGCGATAGGAGCGCCGCGGCCCCAATCTGGCCATGGAGGGCGTTGCCGCTGCAGAGGTTGCCGTGGAGGGCCGCCGCACCTCTCCTGCACCGCGTGCTCAACCGCCGCCGCCGTTGCCGAAGATGCCAAGGTGACCATGGAGGGCGCCGCCGCTGCCCCCAATCAGGCCATGGAGGGCGCTGCTGCTGCCGGCGATAGGAGCGCCGCGGCCCCAATCTGGCCATGGAGGGCGCTGCCACTGTAGAGGTTGCCGTGGAGGGCCGCCGCAGCCCCAGAGGTGGCCATGGAAGGCCGCCACACCTCCCCTGCACCTCGTGCTCGACCGCCGCCGCCGTTGCCGAAGATGCCGAGGTGACCATGGAGGGCGCCGCCGCCGACCCCAATCGGGCCATGGAGGGCGCTACCGTTGGAGAGGCCGCCGGATCCACCGGTCGAGGAAGAGGTGGGGTGCATGGCCTGTGGCGGCCAGGAGCACCTCAGGCCACTCCTCCGCGGGCAAGGGAGAAGAGGGAGGCCACGCGACCACCGGGATGGAGGTGGACGACGCTCAGCCTTGGGGAAGCGCTGCCGCCATGGAGAGCCGCTGTCGCTGCCGTGTGGATGAAGCAGCCGTGGCCCAGCGCGGCTCCGAAGCGGGCCACCGGAGGCGCAGCCGCCCGTGACGGCGTGATACGCGACAGCGGGTGCGGGAGGCGGAGAGGGTGGCGGGGACAAGAATCAGAAAAAAGAGAAAGGGAGAGAGGAAGAAGAAAGCGGCAGGGGTAAAAATGTCATTTCACCGCTGTTCTCTCTCCTCAACCGGCTGCAACCGGTCCGCGGTGTCCTGTGGCCTAATTTCACCGAACCAGAGTGTCTTTTAGCAAACTGCTCAAAACAGGGTGTCCTCCAGCTAACGATCATCACTTTGGATGTCCGCCGGACAATTGTCCCAACAGTGACAGCGACACAGGGACAAGTGGACGACTGTAATGCCATCTCATCTGTGAGAAGGCGGCACCATGGCAGCAAAAATCGTGTGTCTACTGGATCACATAACAGCATGAGGAAAGAAGATGAGAGCTCAGGATGCATATTGAGTTGTTGTTGTTGTTAATTGTTATATGTTGTGACTGTTGTTTGCTTCTCTTCTTCTTTTTCTTCTTTTTTTTGTGTGGGTATTATACACCTTCTCTGTTAATACAGGAAGGCTTCTCTTGAAAAGGGAAAAAAAACTCTTGTTTTCCCCCTCGAACAGAAGTTAGATGCACGGATGGAATTAATCTAGTAAAGCTTTCTTCTTTGAACCCTCTGTTTCACGTGAGATGCAGGGGAAGCAAAGGCAGACGCCCACCTCTGCAATTCCCACAAGGTAAATACCGGAATGCAGGCGCAGATTCAGAGCCTAAATATACACACACACACACACCTCCTATATACTAGTAGTTGCTAAAATTCCCAGAACAGGCAACGATGCTACCCGGCCTATCCCTTTGGGGAAAAAACCCCGAAATGCTGCAGTGCAGGATTCAGGAAGCAAAAGGCTATGCGCGTGGAGGCAGGCAGATCGTGCATGGTCGCTGCAGCATCATTCAGGAGCAGGAAACAACGGCCGGCGGTGCAATAATGGAGCGAGGGAAGGAGCAGGCGAATTACCTGCTTTCGCGCGGCGTGTCCGGGTCCGGCGGCCTCCGGTGCTACGCAACGCAAACGCAAACGTCGGTGCTGGTGTGGTGGTGGCTTCGATCGGGGCGACGGGGCGGGGCGGCGGCGTCACTGTGGTATTTGTAAGAGGAGCAGGAGCAGGAGGTAGGCGGGCGGCGAAGGAGGCGGAGGGGCAGGGAGAAGGAGGCGGCGGTGGTGGTGGTGGTGGGTTCGTTGATTTGAACGGGGTTCGCTCGGCGGTAGCTTTCCTTTCCCCTGCTCCGCCGTGGCCCCGCCTCGTCTCGTCCCGGTTTCCTTTTTCGCATGGGCCCCATCGGACGGCCCGGCCGGCCTGCGGCCTGCCTGCCTTTCGTTTCCGTGGCGGTGCGCGGTACGGTACGGACCACGGGTTGGTTCGAACGTGTTGGGCGCCGGCGCCACGCACGGCACGGCTCGCCCTCCCTTCTCCTGTTGCTTCCTCCTCGCTTCCTGGCGGTTGCTTGCATTGCTTCTTCATCCTCCTGGCAGGCAGAGGATTTTTCTTTTTCCTTTTTTTGGCTTTCTTTCGTGTAGAGTACTAGTGATTTTTAAGAGATGGGATTGTGGATGGACCTTCTGCAGGCTTCCATCTGGCGGTTGATCAACAGTTCTCCACCGCTACTCATTGTTTCTCCATCATTCTCGCACGGATTGTCTACATTGACGCTGGGCGAGGAAGGATTTGAAATTCCACGGGGTTGTGATTGTGTATGTCATGCAACGATTGAAGAACCGGTGTGTGAGAGAGAGCATAGTAATAGATCAGAGAAAAAAGCAGCTTGCACCCTCATTTTTAGTTGCTACAATTAGTTGGCGCGTTGTTGACAATTAACTCCTAATCTTCTCCATTAGGAGGAAGTTAAGCCTTGCTCACACCCGAGTGGATGTCGTGTAGGTTTTTCAGCCTTCTCACGTACTCTGTTTTGAGATGTAAGACTGATTATTCTTTGCTCAGTGATGGAGATCATTACGAGAGTTTAGCTTACTAATGAAATTTCATTGAAGTGGGACGGAGTGGATGTCGTGTAGGATTTTTCTTTTTCCTTTTTTTTGGCTTTCTTTTGTGTAGAGTACTAGTGATTTTTAAGAGATGGGATTGTGGATGGACCTTCTGCAGGCTTCCATCTGGCGGTTGATCAACAGTTCTCCACCTCTACTCATTGTTTCTCCACCATTCTCGCACGGATTGTCTACTCATTGTTTTCAGTTGCTACAATTAGTTGGCGCGCGTTGTTGACAATTAACTCCTAATCTTCTCCATTAGGAGGAAGTTATGCCTTGCTCACACCCGAGTGGATGTCGTGTAGGTTTTTCAGCCTTTTCGCGTACTCTGTTTTGAGATGTAAGACTGATTATTCTTTGCTCAGTGATGGAGATCATTACGAGAGTTTAGCTTACTAATGAAATTTCATTGAAGTGGGACGGAGTGATTCACAGTTAAGTTCTCACAGTCCTCATACAAGTATCCTTTTATTTTAAATCAAAAGGAGAAAACACAAACAACTCTCAAGTAGTAAAGCTCATTAGGGTTGGGCGACACACTGTTGTCGCCAAAAGCTCTCCTCCCTCAAGCAACCCCTCTTGCCGATGTTGCTGCTTGCTTCGTGGTGGTTGCTTGGATTGTTTCATCCTCCTCGCTCAGAGGATTTTCTTTTTTCTTTCCGTTTCTCCTTCTTTCTTGTACAGTAGTAATTTTGAAGAGATAGGATTACGGATGGATTGCTAAAAGAATTATGGATGGGACCTTCATACTTCCATTTGGCGGTTTATCAATAGATCTCTACTGCTACTCATTGTTTCTCCAGTGTTCTCACACAAATTATCTAGTAATTTTGAAGAGATAGGATTACGGATGGATTGCTAAAAGAATTATGGATGGGACCTTCATACTTCCATTTGGCGGTTGATCAATAGATCTCTACTGCTACTCATTGTTTCTCCAGTGTTCTCACACAAATTATCTATGTTGACACTAGGTGAGGAGGATTTGGAATTCCACGAGTACAAAATTATATTTCTTGTACGAAATGGACATGAGATTGTGTATGTCATGCTAGGATTGAACAATGGTGTGTGTGAGAGCATGGTACGACACAAAAAGGCAGCTGCCACCAAATTTTTAGTTGATTCATGGCGACAGATTAGTTGGCGGACATCTTTTACAACTAATTCCTAATCTTCTCCGTCTGGAGCAAGTTAAGCCTTGCTTACGCCTGAGTGGATGACTGGATGTCGTGGAGGTTTTTCTACCTTGTCACGTACTCCAGTTTGAGATCTAAGACCGATCATTCTTACTCACTGATTGAGATCATTGGGAGAGTTTTGCTTACTAATGAAATTTCATTGTAGTGGGACAGGGACGATTCATAGTTAGATTCTCGTTGTCCCCTTGCAAGTATCTTTTTATTTCAAATCAAAAGGAGAAAAACAAAAACAACTCTCCACCATATATCCTATAAATATCTTATTAGGAGCATGAAGAGTTCCACATACAAAGAAATTCCAATATTGACATTAAATAGTTTTACATCATTGCAAGGTACGTGATGGCAGGATTTAAGCGCTAATGCAGCTATTTTCAGTAACAGAAATAAAACTCCAACAATTTGTTCATATACTTTCATATCATCACTACTGTATATAAGGTACGTGATATGGTCTGATTTGAGTGCTGATATATATCTCCATGGTAACAGGGCACCTAATTAGTTGGCCTATTGTCCCCGAGAAATTAGTTGGAAAGAGTTGATTAGTTGGTTGATGGCACAGTCCTGTAGGTTGGTTTGATTCATGACTACAGTTAAGCCTTGACTACGCCTGAAATTAAATTGGCTGCGCTGGAGTGAAGATCGATCAACTGTTTTGGTCCTTGTGGAACTTGTGTGGTCCTCTTTTGTTTTTGGATCGAAGCTAGTACAAACAGAAGGTTTGAACTTTATTCAAAGGCTACAGTTACATGGATGGAATTTGTTCAGGTTATTGGATGGAGTTGTTTACTTCTCTTCCATCCTAAGTTAACATAAATAAGTGATCCAAACCAAAGAGTTGTTCAAGCTACTACAGGTGCACCTTGAGGAACCTAGCTATAATTGCAAACGTCCTTGCATTGCAGGGGTCCTCACAGTTTTTTGTTATACATTTGTAGAAATTATTTAGATGAAATACTGTACTAGCACCTAGTCATTTATTTATCAAAATTGATTTATCACTTCTTATTAGAAACACAAGGAGTTTATAGGATGATAGATGGTCTAACTATTCAAATATACTATGCACACTATTCGGCAGTGTTGTTGAAACTTTGGTGATTGGATAAACTTGGACCCTATATAACCAACCAAAATATATAATGATGTTTTCTCAAAGTAGAGGAGAGAGGTATTTTTGATGGAGAGAATTCTCTATTTGGCAATGAAACAAATCAGTCTTCCATATTTGGCACTCAAAAATTTAAACTTCCTTTCAAAAATAGCAATCCAGTCCATTTTCACCATGACTGGTTTGACCTTGTCAATTTTGTCTCTGTATGACCAAAGTACCCCTCCGTGGCCGAGCGCCAGGATCCCGCGACCTTCTTCCTGTGCGGCCGAGCGTTCCCGCGTGGTCACGGCGACGGGGCGGGCTCACGGGTCGACGCTCCGGCCAGCCCACGGCGTGGCGGAGGCGGCACGGCAGCCTGGCCAGCGGCGACGGCGGCTCCTGGCGCACAGACCACAGGGCCCCCTCCCCAGGA